TAGGCTGTCCAATTCAGCTAATGGAGATGCTTAGGAATAAATGAGGAGATGGATTTTGGGTGTCTGTCAGTGAGAAAACCTAAATTCTCATCCCTAATGATAAAGAAGGAAGTCAATTACAACACTGTGCTCCTTGTCTTTTCTTTCTATTGTTGACAGTATTACAGATGTCCTCCATTTCCCCCACCCTTCACCCCCCTCCACCCAGTGCCCGCCCGCTCCAGGCCTTCACCCCATTATTGTCTGTGTCCATGGGTTATGCATATATGTTCTTTGGTTAATCTCTTCCTGCACCACCACCCCACCCCTTCCCTCTGAGATTTGTCAGTCTCTTCTATGCTTTCATGTCTCCTGACCGATTTTGTTCATCAGTTTATTTTGTTCATTAGATTTCACTTATAAGTGAGATCATGTGATATTTGCCTTAGCCTGACTGGCTTATTTTGCTTATCATAATAATTTCCAGGTCCATCCATACTGTCACAAAAGGTAGAGATCCTTCTTTTTTGCAGCTGCATAGTATTCCATGGTGTAAATGCACCACAGCTTTTTTATCCACTCATCTACTGATGGGCACTTGGGCTGTTTCCAGATCTTACTAACGTAAATAACATTGCTATAAACATAGGGGTGCATATATTCTTTCTGATTGGTGTTTCGGGTTCCTTAGGATATATTCCCCAAAGTGGGATCACTGGGTCAAATGGCAGCTCCATTTTTAATTTTTTGAGGCAACTCCACACTGTTTTCCACAGGGGCTGCAGCAGTGTTCGAGGGTTCCCTTTTCCCCACACCCTCGCCAGCACTCGTTTGTTGACTTATTGGTGGTCGCCATTCTGGCAGGTGTGAGGTGGCACCTCATTGTAGAGAGCCAGTAGACTATGAAAAAGTGTGCTTCTTTTCTTTACCCACTACAGAGACTAGCCTACATTTCGGTAGTCCTTTCTCATTAGAATGTTCTCCCTATGTGTTTTTAAATGTAAAAGGGTTTGGTAACTTGAGCTGTCTAGCAGAGGGACTGGCTACCTTGAATAGCAGTGGGTTTCCCAACACTGAAAGACTTCAAAGAGAAACTAGGCCACCATTTCACAGATGCTAGAGGACTTTTATTTATGCCTGTCAGTCATATAATTTCATTACGTTTCTTAGCCAGACAGAACTTGGTAGAAATCTCTGGGTTTAGGAGGCAGAGCTTTAAAAACCTGTTTTGGCTGTGTTTTGCCGTTCTTGCCAGTGCCTACTACTAAAGCAAAATCCCTCTTTTTTCCACAAATAATTCAGTTGAATTAAAATTAAATCCAACTTTGGTGACCTGATTAGCAATCATTTCTTTTTCAATTGGCAAGCTTAGGCAGAATAGCCCTTGTGTTTCTACCTTGCTCCACTATCTTTAGAACTGCTCACCTACTATGGGGCTTGCAGTTAATTTGAGCCCTTTTGCATACATTTAGAGCCATGATTCCTAGATTCAATGTTATAGTAGTCTTGCTAGATGCAAAACTAAAAAAGGCTTTCATGGTCAAAAATACTATAGAAACACTACATAATGAATACTAATATCCCTTCTTGGAGAGTCACAGGGCTCATGAATAGCTAAAGGCTCTGAGAAATCCTGCAGAAAACAAGCATTTAATATTGTTGAAGCCAGCATTTTCAGAACACACATACTACTCATTAACATCCCATGAAAAGCACTTTGAAAAATCTTACCTTATAAAATGTGTGGGGGAAAATCCTAGTTGATACAAGCAGATACAGCCAAAAGTGTTTCTAAGAGGTCTGCCTATGTACATTTATAAATATGTGAACAGTACAAAATCATTTTTAAACACACAGAATTCTGTGTAGAGCATGTGCAGATTATCAGTTTCCAAGGAACTGGAATCAGTTGCCCAATTATAAACTTTTATTGAAGGTAGTTATTTTCTTGATGATCGAGAGTGCTTTTCTACTTCATTGTGTCAGCCTCTTCAAGACTGAGTTTCTTCATCTGTTAAAAAAAAATGGAGATCATGTTCACCTCATAGAGTTTTTGTGAAAATCAAGATAAATGGGAAAATGTGTGTAAAACACTTAATTTAGTGCTTGCACCATTGTGGGTATTCTATAAAGACCTGTATTCTATCTCACTATAATCGTGGTCCTGAATTGAGACTGTGGTATTCAAAAGAGAAATCTAGCCCAGCCAGTGTGGCCCAGTGGTTGAGCATCGACCTATGAACCAGGAGGTCATGGTCAGATTCCCGGTCAGGGCACATGCCCGAGTTGCAGGCTCGATTCCCAGATGGGGGCTTGCAGGAGGCAGTCTATTATTGACTCTCTCTTATCACTGATGTTTCTCTCTCCCTCTCCCTTCTTCTCTCTGAAATCAATAAAAATATATTTAAAAAGAGAAATCTAATGTTTAGTGTTTGTTTGGGTACTAAAGAAAACAGCATAGAATAAGTTGTTAGTGCTGCACTTCAATTTGTATACAAGTCTTTTAGAACATAAAGCAAGAAAATATTTCCCAGGGTAAAACTTGGGAAAGAGGATCCCTAAAAGAATGACTATTTTGTCTTCATATGCTTAAGACCCATTACATGGGATTTTCTTTTTAAATTTTCAAAATTTGCCAAAATAAGAATAGTTTAAGGGGGAAAAGTAATAATCAAGTAATATTTAATTGAAACATAAATAAATGGCAGGTCTTTCTATCTATTATTTGTCTTTTATAAAAGAATTGCAAGATTTTCAAAACTAATTTTCTGGACAGGTTTCAATTCTATTTTTGTTAATTTCTATAGTGGACTAGGCTGTGGCATTCAAATTTAGTGCTTCCCTAAAGCGATTTTCAAGTGATAGATACTCCACCCCCTTTCCTCAGGCATTAATTTATTGGTCTAGTGTTTTAGTTTTGAGCCCTTGTATATATGCTACACTTTCTATTCTTTCACTTGCTCTCTCATACCTATGTCTTTCTGTCTCCCTTTGGTTAGGGATGCTCGTTAGTGCCTGGTTAATTCAGCATCCCTAAGCTCATGACACACTCTTCCACAACATTGCTGCCAAATCCATTTCAGTGACTCAGCAGGAGCTTGTCATTAACAACATTCTTTTAGGAAGTAAAAATTAAGCAGTCTTGGAAAGCAAAGTGCCAGCACACCATGTATGGGTAAATCTTTGGTAGCAATAAACAGAGACTCCTGGTGGGTTGTTGGTGGAGTTCCTTGCCTGACACCACCCTTCCTTTGAAGCACTAACAAGTTCATTTCTCAAAAGGAGTTTAAAATAATGACTGCAGTGAAAAGGGCCCGTCAGTGTTATTGAAAAGACAATCTGTTTCCAAATCTTACATTTGTTTATGTAATATATAAACCATTTGATAGATAAAGGAGAAGGCAGATGGAATTCCAAATAGCAGCTTTATTGTTGGTAAAACCTGGGTCAGAGAATATGGACTTAAATATGTGGCTTGTCAACACTGCTCTCCAGCATAAGCTCATCCCTCCATCCCCCCTGCGGCCCTAACTTCCCCCCTCACCACCCACTAAGCCATCAACGGAGCTGAAATGGGTATTAGAAAAGCAAAAACAATAAATTTCCTCTACATAAAGTCTGTGGTGCTATTTCCTAGTTTGCAGATAACATTGAGCTCTAGATCATGAAAATCAAATCACAGAAATAAAATTATCAAGAGGAAGCAAAGTGATGAGCTTCTAAATGAGCAAGGAAAAGAAATGTACTCATTCTGAAATAATCTAGATTATATTTGCTTAAGATATTTAAAATATAAGAGATAAGAGAGTCATTATCTTTAATTAAATATTTTACATATTATGATACTGAGCATATCATGCTAATTATCCAAACAAAATAGAAATTATTATTTCACTTTTCTAGTTCAACTGATAGATACATAAGTATAGGAACTTCTGATTACTGATCTTTGAGAAAGTCATAATGAAGCCAGAAGAAGGCTGAAAGGAGCAATTAAGATAGCTGTATCATTGTGGGAATTCCTAAAATAGATTTATTGAGAAACCAATTGATAAACTTCTTAATTTTGAAATGACAAGGCCTACAAGTTTGAAAAATATGTATAAATTTATTTGTGGAATTAGTAGCATAATTCTGAGAACACTATAAATGTGAATTTTCCTTTTTTTTTTTAAAAAAAGTATATTTATTGTTGAAAGTATTACAGATGTCCCTCCTTTCCCCCCTCCATCCCCACCCCAAGCCTTCACAGCACTATTGTCTGTCCATGGATTATACATATATGCATATAAATTCTTTGGCTAATCTCTTTCTGCCTCACCCTTTCCCTCTGAAATTCCTCAGTATGTTGTATGCTTCAATGTCTCTGGATCTATTTTGTTCATCAGTTTATTTTGTTCATTAGATTCCACATATGAATTTTTCATGAAAGTTATGTCCTGAATAAAGGGTATAGTAGTGTTCAGAACACAAATTGCAAGCAGAGTACAAAGATTTAACTAGTCTTAAATAGATTTTAGATAACAAATGGGTATATATAGAATAATTTCATTTGGCATTTAAGTTAAACATACATATATTCATTTATGTATATTTGTATATAATATGAATAAAATACTGCACCAAATATAGTGAATATCACTTATTGGTAGGATTTGGTATAATTTTAGCTTCCTTAGTTGGATTTTTATGACTTCTAGAATGAATGTATATTACTTTTAAATGAGAAAAGGAATAAATAAGTTTTCTTAAAGACAAAATAATTTTTGACATAAAAGGAAACTAGTATTGCTCTTTGCGGTGATGTCATTGTGGTCCTTCTCATAAATTTATTCCACATATATCCATGAGTATCTCAGAAACAATATTGGCTTGGCTGGGCCATTGTTCTCAAAGAACGCGGCATTTCTCTTACTATTAATCAATTACATTTTTACAGCATTATGCCAGGGTAAGTAAGAAGAATTTATAATCACATGCACTGATACCTATCTTACTAAGTCATTTTTATTCTTTCCAAGAACGCACCTTTCAAGATCAAGGTTCTGATACAGAAAATAATATGAACCAAGTGCCCAGCCTGGTCGAAGCCATCTTTAAAGTACTATACTATTGCACTTTCTCAACACAAACATTTGGGAATGTTTTTGTGAGCTACATGGAAGAAGAACAATTATGGGACTTTTTATATAACATTCCAGGTATGAGAAATTTATAATTTTTAAAGAAGCATTTAAAAAATACCTAAATGTATCTTTAAAGGTGTTTTAAAAGTGTTATTAATATCAGTTTTGATGAGTCTGCTATTTGTAAAATTTTAACTTATGTTTTTTCAGTATAAAGGCTTCTTTTGGAAGTCATTAGCTATTAGCTCCTATCAAAATTTAGCATATTTGGGACAAGGTGAGGGGGAGGTTGAGAGGAAAAATTATGTCATGCAGATTATTAGGACCTGTTCTCTCATAAACATTTCATTTAATATTTTCCAGAGATTAAGTTTTGAACACGTAAAGCATTAGTAAGATGTGAAAAAATATCTCGTGACTCTTGGGTGCATTATTCAATGAACTGATGGACAAAACTAATGGTCAATTTTCTTCAAATGTAGAAGGCATTTGTTATGATGACCATGGTGCCTCTCTCTGCAAGGCATCCTACATTCCTCTGGGGACAATATGTTTTCCCATTCGTATTGTTATACCTGTTGCTAAAGCAGAAGATAAAGACAGAGCAGGTTACATACCTGAATAGGAAGTGTTCGTGGACGGCCCTTCCTTCAGCGCCAGATATAAAGATTCTCACATTGTTTTCCTTCCTTTAAATCTCCATACATAATATCTTGGTGAAACAAAGGATGAGAACTTAGACAGTGCTTATCCTGCTGTTAGTCCACTAACCATTTACATCATTTACATTTCTCTTTTCTTAGCATATCAGTTATACTTCTTTTTTTACTTTTTCAAGTGGTTGCCCCAGAGTTTACAACATATATAAAGTTTGAAACTGATCCAAGTCCTTTCAGATAACACTGTAACAATTCACAGGTGGTGTAAGTGCCTTATAATAACAAAATAATTCTAATTTCCTCCTTCCCATTTCTTGTATCATTGCCGTTATTCATTTCACTTACATATAAACACACAGAAATATATATGTATGCATACATAATACATGCATGAGTTAATGCATTGTTGGTATTATTTTGAACAAACTTATCTATTCGATCAATTATGAATAAGAAAAACAAAAGTTTTCATTTCGCCTTCACTTATTCCTTCTTCAAGCTCTTTCTTTATGTAGACCTGAGTTTTTGACCTATATTACTTTCTTTCTCCCTAAAGAACTTCTTTTAACATTTCTTGCAAGGCTAGTCTACTGGCAACAAATCCCCTCAATTTTTATTTGTCTGAGAAAGTCTTTATTTCTCCTTTCCTTTTGAAAGATAATTTTGTAGGATAGAGAATTCTAGGTTGATTTTTTTTTTCTTTCAGCACTTTAAATATCTCACTTCACTCTCTTAGTTGCATGGCTTCTGAGAAGTCGAATGTAATTCTTACCTTTGTTCCTCTAAATGTAAGATGTCTTTCCCTATGGTTTCTTTCAGGAGTTTTTCTTTATCTTTGATTTTTCTATAGTTTGAAAATAATGTTCCTAGGCATAGTTTTTTAATGTATTTATCTTGCTTAGTGTTCTCTTAACTTCCTGGATCTGTGGTTTATGTTTCACATTAATTTGGGGGAAATTCTTGTTCATTATTGTTTTAAATATTTATTCTGTTTTTTTGTTTTCCTCTCTTTCCTCTGCTCTATTCCCATTATACATATGTTACACCTTTTGCAGTTTTTCCATAATACTTGGATATTCTGTTTTGGTTTCTTTTTTTTAGTCTTTGTTCTCTCTGCTTTTCAGTTCGGGAGGTTTCTGTGGACATATCCTTAAGCTCAGAGTTTCTTTCATCAGCTTTGTCCAGTTTACTAATAAGCCCATGAGAGGCTTTCTTCATTTTTGTTACAGTGCTTTTGATCTCTAGTATTTTCTTTTTTTTTGAGGGGGGTGGTTCTTAGGGACTTTCATCTCTCTGTTTACATTGCCCATTTGTTCTTTTATGCTATTTTATCCATTAGCACATTTAGCATATTAATCATAGCTGTTTTAAATTCCCAGTCTGGTAATTCTAACATCTTTGCTATGTCTGTTTCTGATGTTTGCTATTTCTTTTCAAATTGTGCCTTTTAGTAGGTCTTATAATTTATTTTCTTGAAAGCTAGACATAATGTACTGGAACTACTCTAAATAGGTCTTCAGTAATGTGATTGTGGGGTGTAGGGGAGAGTAAACTATCTATAGTCCTATGATTAGGTCTCAGTTTTTTACTGAACCTGGTGATTCTTGATGGTATACTTCACAAATGTTTCTCAGCCTCTTTTTTCCCCTTAGATTGGAGAGGATGGCTAGAGTGGGCATCAGTTGGTCATTTTCTTTCACCCAGATATGTTAAGCTCTGATAACCCTAGTGGCCTAGGCTCTGTTTTAATAGTTTCTCCTGAGAGCAGACCTTCAGAAGAACAGAGTGCTCTGGCCTATTTCAAAATGTTTCTTTTCCTCTACCCATGCTGGAAGGACTAGATTTTTCTCTGACATTTACTGTGGGAAACTAGTGGAACTCCTGGAGGTAAAACTCACAGAAGTGTGGCAGCTCCCCCTCCCCCATGACAAGGTCTTTCTGGAGTTTAAACTCTCAGATTTGTCTGCACTGACCCTCAACAAATTCATCACAGTTCAGATTTTCCTGCATTGGCACTGCTTCTCATGGTACTTTCTGCTTCTGAGTCTTCGTTCCAGTAAGCCACGACTCCCTGTATTTGCCTATTTCTCCAGTTCTCCTTGTGTTTTCACCTCTCTTACGGATTCAAGAAGAGTTGTTGATTTTTTTTCATCTGTTCATCTTTTTATTTATTGTTAGGACAGAATGGTGACTTCCAAGCTCTTTATATGCAGGTTCAAAAATGAGAAGTTCTTGCCACTTACTTTCTTTCCTCTGTCCCCTCTTCTCCCATTTTCCCTTTTTCCTTGTCTATATCTTATTTCTACCATAGTCGTCTGTGGTCTTTGCTTAATCCCCCCTATAGTGTCTCCTGCTCAAGATGTTTCAGAACCCTAATCAGGAAAAAACTGGGCAGCTCAACATTGTAACATTGTAACAAAACTCTTATGTAATAAGAGCAAATATATACATAATGCCTACTATCTACAAGTTATTTTGCACAAATTAACTCCTAAAAACTTTAAATAATTATTTGAGATAGTGCTATAATTTTCTCTATCATTTTTGATATCTTGATTTTATTTTAAAAGGAATAAATATACCCTTTTAACAACAAGAAATAGGGGAATTTCTGACTTTCTAGAATTTTTAGATACATGAGATGATTTTAATCCATGACTCCAAAGAGTTGAACCAAAATGAATATTAATTATTAATATAGGAAGAAGTCTTTTTTATCCCTTTCAATGAATTAAAGTCTTGAAACATCATTTAAAAGACAGACAGCTATGTCTTCCACCATCCCCATAAAGAGCAAAAGCTTACCTAACTGATGATCGTGCCATATTAAAAAATTAAACTCTTAATATTTGATATTCCCAAGATCCTGTTCTCCAGGGTCGTCTTAACAACAGCCTGAGTCACTTGAGAAATATCACCTTGCAATTTGAGGGAGCAAATAAACATAAAGGTGCTTTTCTATATTGATTCAAATGATAGTCCCAGGATTTTGCAGTTATATTTCAAAAACAACTTTTATTGCATTTATCATACAATAATATATCATAATGAGTAATACAAATAACCAGAAATAAAGCAGGATGGCAGAAACAAGGAAGGAGAAAAGGCAGGGCTAGAGGGAGAGAGGGAGAGAAGGAAGGCAGAAAATTTAAAAGAAGGAAGAGGAAAGTGATCATTAACGTTGTAGAAGTATATCTTTTAATTTTTTATATGTGTATGTAGATATGTATTTTTCAATAAAAATTGCATGTCATACTCTTTCTAACCTGCTTTTATTTTTATACTAAACAATATATGGTTTTATCGTGTAGATGGATTTACCTTGACTAATTAAATAAATAAACCAATTATTGGACATTTAGATTATGTCCATTTTTTTATATCCTTTATACAATCATAATTACTTTCTTAGGATAAAGTCCTAGAAAAAGGTTAAGTGGATTAACAGGTAAGTAAAACGTTAGAGCTCTTGATATTATTGGCAAACTGTCATCTGAGAAGCTCGTACAATTTATATTTCCACCAGTAGAGTTCCAAACTACCAGCAAATACAGTTATTCCGTGTTATTTTAATTTCCATTTCCTTTATTATCAAGAAGAAATTTTTTTTCAAATGTTTATGAGCTCTTCAACAATTACATGATTTCTAGATTAAGAGCAGCTCTTCTTTCCTATAGCATTATTTATCCCTGAGAAACTGAATCCCCAGTTGAATTAGGCACAAAATATTGCCAGATTCTGCTAACTTTACAGTGATATGCTGTCTGATTTTGAAGTCTCGACATGCGTGGAGTCCGAGCTAGAGGTCATCCGATGCTTGAGACTGGCACTGACCGACGCTGTCAAGGACACTGTACAGCAGATAATATCTGTGATGAGCTCTGGGAGAAACTGTGAGACAAACCTAAACAAGCATGGTGTTCCTGAATGTCTGCTCGAGAGTATTCCAAAAGAATGGAATTATATTCCAAAAGAAACGAAAAGGAAAGAATCAAGCAAAGGTATATTTATTTTTCTTTAAGAACATATCCTCAAAGAAGCACTTTTCTAGGATATGAGATCAAGTAAAATGCTAAAAATGGTAAGATTTGTAAACTATATTAGTCTTATTTTCACCATGTATATTTGGGACCTGTTATTTTCTTTTCTGTGAGTCATATGATCAAGGAAACTAGAAATGGAAGTGACTGAGATGGTCATTTTCTTTATTTAACTACCAATCCCAAATTTTCTGTAACATTTTGTGTCCTTGTTAGTATTCACAGATTAGTCACATGATTTTGACTAATTTCCTTTCAATCTACTGAGTAATCTAAAATTCATACTCTTAAGAAGATTGCTGGATATTCAGCTTAAATATACTTTCCTTGAAATTTCTCCCCTCAACTACCAATTATAACTTTCTTTTCTCTTGTTAACACACTTAGATCTGTGGCTTTTAGGTCACAAATAGCACCCCATAGTAACCACATATTTTCTGACAGTATTTTTCCTCTAACGCCTATCTATGGTTCTGAATTTCATGCATTGTTCCTATTCAAGGCAGTGCATCTACCAAGTGTACTTAAGAACCATCAGTTACTTACATTATTCATTTATTTTATTAATCAAGTCTTCTCTTTTGATTTATTTATTTTTAAAATGTCTTTATTGATTTCAGAGAGAGAGAGAAAGAGAGAGAGAGAGAAACATCAATAATGAGAGTCATTGATCAGCTGCCTCCTGCACGCCCCCGCTGGGGATTGAGCCCGAAACCCAGGCATGTGCCCTGACCGGGAATCAAACCGTGATCTCCTGGATCCCAGGTTGATGCTCAACCACTGAGCCATGCCAGCTGGGCAAGTCCTCTCTTTTTAAATGGCTTATTCCCATCTAGATGTTTCTACTTTCTGAGAAATTTACAAGATTCCTTTGAATGTATGTTATATATCTGTCTGTATTCATGAATCTTCTTTAGGGTTTTAAAAATAGGATTTTTCCTTTTTATAGTCATTCTTTTTGACAATTATTTAATACCTTTATTAACAAGTGCTTGCGGTTTGTTGACTGTTTTGAAAAAAATCAAGTTGTAAATTTTTATTACAAATTAAAAATGAGGTTCTTAAAAATCTCAACTTGATTAGACAAGAAACAATTTTAAAACCTTTAAATATGCATTGAGAAAAAAACAGGCTTTAAAACACACACACGTTTGTCATTACCAAAAAGAGACAGCTTTAGGTGAAAATAAAAACCTCATGCTGCATAAAGTAGCGCAGATAGTTCTAGTTATCTGGTCAATGGGCAAAAAGCAAGCAGTATAGTCTTCAGCTCCGGTCTTTTCATTTCTTGAACAAATGAACAGCAATATATTCATCTTTTTAAAAGAATATTTTTTCACTAACTAAAGAAACTGTCAGCAGTAAAATACTCCAGCCGAACCCATTAAAGTCAACTGAAGGGACTAGTCTTTCTTTCATTCTTCTGCACGAATATCCTGAATAGTGTGGCTCTGATCCAACAACCTTATATTACAAACTCAAATCAATTATCTATCTGTGACCTTTCATAGTAATGTTTTAATTCTGTCCAAGCCCTATTAAACTGCCTTTGAATCTAGTAAAGCCATTTCATTGAAACTGGAAAATGTCACCTTCCCATTACTTAAGCTCTGCCTTGTCCAAGTTGTTGCCATCACTCTTCATTCTAGCTTTTGGATATTTCATAGATTTTGAACAATTCAGGAGGCATGATCTATAGTTAACACATGATGTCATAGGGCTAGCACCATTTTGCATGTGGCTTTCAAGTCATTCTATTGATAAGTAATTTTGCTTTCTAAGAGCATTTTGGAATTCTTCTATAACATCTTAACAACCTCTGGTTCCAAAAAATGCTTACTTTGTAGGTATTAGTTCTTGTGGTTTTCCCTACTAAATAATCTTTATAAAATTATCACTTAGAGTAGAAGTACAACACTTCTACAATAAACAGTCATGAAGGGGCCCAATCACATAATTATATAAAAGTAGGTGGTGAAAAATGTGACTTTATAAAGCATTTTGTGCATTCCTGGTGGACATGACATTAGGAGAATAGCACTGTTCCTCCTTTCTGCCCTCTTTTAGACTGAGAGCGCTCAACCTTTATTTTCACTTCCAGATACAAGAAAGAGAATATTTACATGCCAGACATTGTCACTTATTCTTTCAATAGATATTTACTGAGTAAATTGCTAATACTACCAGGCACTGGCATTGAGGCCAGAGATAAGCTACAAATAAGATATCTCCTCTTGGTGCTTGAAAACTAGTGTAACTGTTTTCAAATGTGTACAAGACAATTCTTTGTTGTGTAAAGAAAGAAAGAAAGAACTTAAACTTTACTAAAATGTCATATGGAGATTGTCACTAGGATTCTCCCTTGGCCTGTGTGTGAGCCAGTCATGTGTTGGGGACAATATTGTTGGGCAGGGAACAAACACAGTAACCTCACTCTTTCATTAGCTTTTAGCGTACAATAATGAATTAAGGTTGTCCTTTGCATTTCAGAAACTACTTTTAACAAAATTAATCTTCACAAAACAAGCAAGTGGCTTTAACATATTCCTGTAAACCAACAAAATCAACTGCAGTTTAAAACTAATACTGAGAATGCAAGGAAGAGCAAACTATGACAAAGTTAAAAAGCTCACACATTTCTGTTTCTAACATGAACTCTTTCTCAGCCATATTATAAGGAAAAACAATAATAATCTGATCAGATTTAGCCAAAAAAAAGAATAAAAATGGAAATGTGTGGAAAAACCATTTGAAATATGGCTTCCCTTACATTATTGTTAAACATGAGTCCTTCCTAAGCGAGTATTATGCCTTGAGATACTAGCTAGAAATAGTTTAAAGTCATCTTGATTAACAAAAGATTTCAAAACCAAGCATTTAAAACATGAAAACAAACCTCTGTAATAGCCTCCAGCAATGTTTTAAGTCAAATGTATTTCATTCAGTACTTGAGTACTTTGCAAAATTTGTCAAAATAATGATAAGTGTTTAGAGACCTTTTCTGAAGGTCATTAGCTTAAGGTTAACCTTCGCTCTTCCTGACGCAATGAAAATGACAGAACACGGAAACCACTATGGTGACTAACTAAAACGCACATCTTCGTTTCTTTGTCAGCAAATACCTTCACATAGAAAACACCGAAGCTTTAAAGAAGTAAATATCACAGTAAATTACACAAAGTAGGAAATTTATGGAAGAGTTGAAGGAAAGTTCAGACATTTCTTGTATAGATCAGCTTAGGTATTTGCTCCCTTATTTCAAACAGCAAATACACAAAGAACTAGTTGTTTTGTTTCTTTGACAACAATTACATGAAAAATATACTGGAGAATATATTTTCTTAGCAGTAAATTACATTTTAAATAAAAAGAATCCTTTATGGGAAAACTGCCGGAGTAACTGCTTTAACTGAAACTGGAGTCCGGAGAGGACACAGAGGCGGCACCATGAGGAGAGTGTACCCAGCGTTCACGTGCAGACTGTTGAGAAAGAAACTGATGGCAGAAATACACAAGCGCTATCAGAAGTCATTAGGGAGTTTCTTTTATAAACACCAGAAATATTCATTTTATAAAAATCACTATCACCTATAAAAATTTTATGGCTGCACACTTAAGAACTTAGAAATAGAATTTTCTAACATGATTAAAATTTTCCAAATGAGAATTTAAGTGATTCTTGAACATTTTGCTTAAAATTATAAAAGCAAAATACTTTTTAAATTTGTTTGCAAGAACAGCTAATTGACATCCTGAATGATGAATAGTTATGAGTCACATTTCAGCAACAGCCTTTGCCTATTTGGTGCCCCAGACTGAAAAGCAAGTGCCATGATTTCGAAAGCACAGTTACTGATGCGCGTTCCACGTGGCTCTGTGCATGTTCATGCAGAGGCCTTTCCCGCCCTGTGACAGCCATGAAAACCAAGTATGGAAACAAACCGAACTTAGGACCTGACCTTTGAACCGCTTTTTCAACAGAGTGGTAAGCCCAGATTTTGAAAATAATAAAGCATATTAAATCACATTATTCTTACTCAATAAGTTATTGTTGACATGTTACACCATTAATAAACATGTTTAATTAATTTTAAGACATTATTTTGTCTTTACCTCATTCATAGTAAATTTTCCTTTTGCATATTTTACAATCCGCAAACTATATTATAGTCAGGACTATATGCATAGGAAGGAAGAAATGACAAATACATAAATATAGATATCACATTGCATTTATTCTAAGACATGCTTTTTTTCACACTTTATCAGCTTTGAGATTGGTATGGCTCTTATATTACATATATGTGGCTTAGATAGAAGTCACATTATTTAAATAAAGACAGAAAAATGAGTGTGTGGCAGTCTTAAAAGATCCCTCCCTGGTGTATTGTTAACATCATCATAGACTCAGAGCCCCAGTGATTAGTTGAATGGATTTATTAATTTGTCATCAGCCTAAAGGTTCTGGTTGGAATTTGCCTTAAGCTTTAATGAAGTAGTGGATTTGAGTACCTGGAGTCCTCAGATTTTATAAAATATCAGAAGTGCAAGTATGAAGAGAATTGGTAATCTTTACCTGATATCTACTTAGATTGCCAAATGTTTACTCAGTGTCTGAAGTTAAACCCTCTCTAGGATAAGCAGAATATAAAATATAATCTTTTCGCTCAAATACCTGACATTAGAATGGGGAGTATGAGACACAGACACATAAAGAAACGTAAGACATGTAAAATAATTTAAGAACACAGAGAAGAGGGGTCACAAAGAAGTTTCTTAATTTGCTTTATTTATATTTTAATGCTCATCTAAACATTTATTTGAGTGAAAGGAAAATATTTATTAAGAAACTCTTTTTTATCAAGTATCTAGGTACTTTCACATTTATTATTTTATTTAATACAGCAGTCTTATGAGATTATTCAAATATATGTTGCACCCAGTTTACAAACTTTAAAAAAAAAACTGCTTTAGTTAATTTTAAAATGATTCTGAAGGTGTCATGAATTTCTGAGGAGTCACAGACTAGACATGTGTTTTCCAAGAGCTTCGTACTTTTTAGGGCAGATTGACTTCTTTAAGTGTCGCAAATACCTTGAAAAATCTATTATTTTTGTTCAGTAAAACAATAAATGTTTTATGGAAGTACTGAAAGCTATGTTCTTTTGACTTCTCACTTAGTCCCAAGGTTCAAATTAATTTATGTACAGAGTGGATTAAAACACTGTGCCTGGCTTTGTGGGATATGCAAGAAGCAATGAGATTTTTTTTCCATACTCTTGAGGAGTTTTTAGTCCACGTGTAAAGACAACTCATGAGGACATAAGTAACAATATAACATAAACAATAATAGGTGATAATACAGAATATGGTACAACATGGCATATTATGGACCTATTACCAAAATAGTTATATGGAAAATATGTTCAAATTAAATTCATAGGAGAAGAGGACTTTGAAACAAGAATTGAGAAACGTGGGTGGCCCATGTGAAGAGGGCATTCCTTGTGAGAATGGTGAGATATTCAGAAGCCAAGGGCCAAGCCAGATTGTGAGGAAAACTAGACTTTGGTTTTAGTGATACCGAGTTCATGATGACTAGGGCAGAAAAAAGGAACACCAACAGGGAGCTGAAGTTTTAGGATTGCTGCCCTGGAGAAAGGCCAAGACTGAAGAACCGAGTCATCTGGAAAATGATTCTCAACCAGGGGGGGAAAATTGCCCCCAAGAGACATTTGACAATGTTTGGTTGTCACAGCTGAGGAGGATGCTACTGGCATCTAGTGGGTAGAGGCCAGAGATCCTGCTAAAACATCCCAAATTGCAAAGGGTAGCTCCTCACAACAAAGGATTATTCAGCCCAAAATGTCAATAGTGCCAAAGCTGAGAAGCCCTGGTATAGAGAGGGAGCATCGGTCAATCCTTCAGAGAAATAATACCAAGGAGAGGAGGGTGTGTAGAATCATCGGTCAATGGGCCACAGACTTCTTAGCAAATAAGAAGTGTTAGTAAGAAGTGGAACTAGCGTGGTACTCAAAGAAGCAAAGAAGAGTGGTAGAGGTAACCAGGAAAGTTTGCGGACTCATTTATGCAACAAGTATTTATTGAACAACTGTTGCATATGGTGTCCTAAGTGCTCTGGATACAGCAATGGCTTCATGAAGCTTATATTCTGGTGGAGGGTGACAGACAGTGAACAAATAAGGAGATAATCATTAGGTGATACTAAGTGCAATTAATAAAAGCAACAAATTGAGGTCTAATGATACGGAGGGACTTGGGCTGGGATAGGAAGGGCATGAAGGGACTGCTTTAGATGGGATGGTAAGGGAAGGTTCTGTGAGGAGGTAACATTTGGGCCAAGACCTAATGAAGAGGAGTCAGTCTTGACAGGAGCTGGGACAATTCTGACGTGGATTCAAGGGAGCAGGAGAAAGGCTGACTGAAGTGAAGGCCACGGATATGTCCAGCAGCAGAAATTTGCATTTGTTAGGTTAGGACACCTGGGCCCCTTGAACCCACAGTCTTAATAGATAAAGCTATAAATAATAATTCTGAATTTTCTAATATTTATTTGTAGGAGAGAAAAACTAAGTTTGACATTTGGGAAACTTTAGACAGTACTGCAGGGGACCCCAGTAGAGTTCTGTCAGAACACGTCAAGCACTTGCTCTTCTCAACAATTTTCTCCACAAAATTAAACATCCCCACACAACACTCAAAACCACACAGTGATGGAACGCAAATGCTAATATTAATCATACCTTTTCTTTCTTTTCTTCCCCAGGCTTCACAAGGCTTGCTGCTCAGGCAGTATCTATTGTAATCAGCAAGTTACCTACGGTGATTGCATGTTTGCCTCCCCCAATTAAATACTTCTTTTTTCTGTCTGAGAGAAAAATGTCAAAAAACTTTGTTGACTTGAAGAAAGCTAGCCTGCTTGTCTGGAACTTGATTGTAATTATATGTCGGATATTTGAGGATGGGAACACTGTGGAACTTTTAACAGGTGCCTCCCTTGACAGATGGAGTAAAGAGAAACTCGGTTTAATCTGTGTGTGTTTGAAAAGCATCGTCGGGGAGCAGAGTAGCCCTAATCAAATGACCCAGAAGGTCATACAGAGCATTGAGCAGCGAAAACCCAACTGGATTCAATGCCAATTGCTGAGAGCAAGGAAATTGAGCACCGAATGGTAAAGCAATGTTTTTCTTTCACTAAATTTCATCAAATACATTCACAATAACAAAATCGCCAATAAACAGCAACAACAAAATATTGTCAGATAGGCATCAAGGGTCATTTTGGTAATTTCATGGGAATTTTGATGAATATCGAAAAAGATAAATATTCCATTAAAAACTGGATTGTTAGACATTCCTTGCCCTATTAAAATTTGAGACCCATTGATACACTGGAACATTATACCTGTTTAGTCACCATCTTAAGGTTTCTGATTAAAAGGGTGGCAGTTAAACCCAGGAGATTTTGGTTTCACTCCTTTTCAGTGTGCAAACAGGTATCTAGTGGATAGCCTGGAGCATTTTGTAAATGGATTGGGCATGGAGATTAAATTAAGAAGGAATTAATGGATATAAAAGGCTTTTTATTGCTTTCTGTGTACCTGATTGTCAAAAAGGTACACATTTTTCATCTGGTAATGTAAGAATCCCAGAGGGCAACTGGGGCATATCACACTCGAGCTATAAACACACCCAGCTGTTTCTGTATGAAAATGTCAGCCTCCTCATAGGTTTGTCACCAACAGCTAAATGATTTGTGGTACTGCAGACTTTTAAGGGTCCCTGCTGAATTTAAATATGTACATAGACTCCTCCCTTCTTAAAATTGGTCTTCAGTATAGAATTGCATGATATGGATAAAGGAATCAGGGCTCATATGGCCTGCAGATCACTAAGCCAGCCCTTTTTCATTTTTACATCACTCACACACAGTCCCCCATTCTTTCAAACTATACTCATGTTGCCAGCAGATACAATTATAACTTTTTTCCTGAAATGACTTCAAGTTGTTAATTTTCCTTGTACGTGGTAGCGATAAAGAGCTCAGGCTTTGGAATCAGATGGACAAATACAAATCCCTTGTTAGTGGGCCATCTTGTGCAAGTGATGGAATCTCTCAAAACCTCATTTTCAGGGATGATGCCAACCTGATAGAATTTTTTTGAGAAATTAAATAACGTTCATAAAGTTCTTAGCATCAGACTTAAAACTAGTAAGCATTTGGCCCTGACCAGGCTGCTCAGTTGGTTGGAGCATTGTCCTGTACACCAAAAGGTTGTGGGTTCAATTCCCGGTCGAAGCATATGGGAGGCAACCTATCAATGTTTCTCACATTAATTTCCTCCCTCCCTCCCT